GCTCTCAGCACAGGCTCTCGGCTGGAGCCAGGAGCCCACGTGCATGAGGGGCAGAAATGGGCTGACCTCAGAGGTCACCTCTCCCACCACCCCCCACCACCAGCAAGGGAGGGTCTTGGCCAAAGTCAATCCACGGCAGACTTGAAGCCACACCCAGCTTGCGTGGCTTTTGTGCCCTGGAAATGGAAGTAGAAGGAACCTCAAACCTGGAGCAATGGGGCTTGCCTGAGCTGGTTGCAAGGAGGAAATGAGAAGCATTTGCCTTCACAAAAGTCTCTGTAATTAAGGGTTTTTCTTTCTTTTCTTTAAGGAGAGTCCTTATCTTTAGACACATTCAGAAATGTCTGTGAAATGATATGCTGTCTGCAGTGTGCTTCAAAATAATCTAGGGGGGCCGGCCCGGTGGCCGAGTGGTTAGGTTCGCGCGCTCTGCTTCAGCGGCCCAGGGTTTCACCAGTTCAGATCCTGGGCGCAGACATGGCATCCCTTGTCAAGCCATGCTGAGGCAGCATCCCACATGCCACAACCAGAAGGACTCACAACTGGAATATACAACTATGTACTGGGGAGAGTACTTTCGGGAGAAGAAGAAGGAAAAAGTTATCATAGTTATCATCATCATCTAGGGTGGGGCGGGAGAGTGTGGGTGGCGGGATTGATGAAATCAGATTGGCCATGAATTGACACTGCTGAGTCTGGGAATGGGTGCATGGGAGTTCATTATGCTTTACACTCTACTTGCATGTCTGTTGGAAAGTTTCTATACTAGAAACTTAAAAAAGGAAAGTTTCCAATAAGAAAGTCTCCCATGTGAGGAGACTGGTTTCTGACTTCAAGGAGCCCCAATGTGATAGGGGAGACACAGCCTTCTGCCCTCTGTGTGGCCAAGGCTCCCTGCATCTTCTCAGCTCACCCTGCCGGCCATGGGCCACACGTGAGAAAGAGGCACGATCTCAGCACCAAAGCCTGGCCTCCCAGACCTGGCCTTTGTCACTGAGGCCCAAGGGTCAGGCACTGGAACCACATCTAAGCAGATCTGGTTCCAGTTCTGGCTCCACCTGCCCATGGCCCTAAGCTCCTCACCTTAACAGCACCTGCCTGGAACGGAGGAAACACCCAGTGAGGCCAGCTATTATCAGGGGGGAGAAGTCTCCACTGGCCCAGCCCCTCCCCAACTAAGTCTCTCTGTTCTTGTTGTGGTTGCTCACCTCTGGCTGCCTCTGCCTCCACGTCCGTGTAATGAGGACCAGAATCACCAGGTGAGTTTGAGCATTACATGAGGCGATGTTTCATGAATGGTCATACTGTCACCAGGACCAGGGGAGGGAGCTGGTCAGAATCACACAGCCAGGTAGTGACAGAGCTGGCTTAGTCACAGATGCATGACACTGAGCCAGCTGCCAACACCCCGTCACCATGAGGCCCATAGGCTGGTAGACAGAGTGTCCTCGTTCAGAAGCTGGGGTGGTGCCCTTGGGACCATTCCATCCAGCCCCTAGTCCCACTCCCAGAGCCTCTCACTCAGGGGAGCACCAGGGACGCTGTATGGGTGAGATGCAAGCCAGGGAGGGGAGGGCTTGGGAAAGAGGAAGACAGAAGACTTTATCCTGCCCTCTACGAACACAGAGGGATCCAGGGACATCTGTCTGGAAGAGTGTGTCCAGACTCGGGGGCTCTATCAGGGGCTGCAGGGTGACTCCTAGGTGAGGGGTGGCAGCCTGGCCTGGACTCTCCTTTCGTGACAATAGTAATAGTAATAGTGGATGCTTGTATAGTTCCTACTATGCACCAGGCAGTGTTCTATCTGCCTTATGTATATTATCTCAACTAATTCTCACAGCCATCCTAAGAGGCCAATGCTATTATTGTCCCTGTTTTACAGATGGGGAAACTGAGGCATAGAGAGGCTCAGTAACTTTCCCAAAGTCTCTCAGCTTATAACCAGCAGAGCTAGGATTTGATCCGGGGCAGTCTGCCTTGAGTCTGTGCTCTTGACCACCCCAATGCACTCTCAGAGAGGGACAGACTGGCTCTCCTAAGACAGTACTTCTGATTCCTGAGGGATCTGGTGGTTGTTGATGTGTGCGTGTGCATGTGCATGTGTGTGTGTGTGGTGGGGGGCTCAGTCACAAAGGGGTACGGGCCAATGGCCACGCCTCCTTCCCCCATGGGAGCCTGAGGCACCTGTCCCCCATCTGCCTCCTGGGAGCTCAGAGGGTGGGGAGACCAGGCAGAGCAGCAGCTGGTACCCTCTTTACCCCGTGGACGGGCCCTTCCCCCGGGGCAGCCAGCGCTGGCACTGGGGCAGGACTTCCATGTGTCTCCTGCTCTGGAAAGCAGAGTAGAAAGTAAGTGAATGACAGGATCAGAGGCAGGCTTGAATTTACTCTTTTTCTTCTTAATTTAAATCTTTCACAGAAAGTTGACCAAAATCAGTAACTAATTACTTGTGAAACTCCCTCACAGCCACTCACAGCGCAGCCCTGGGGAATGTCTGTCCTTTCTGGGATGGGAGCAGCTGAGGCATTCCCTCCCTGCTCCCTCCCCCTGAAGCTCGTCCCTCTGCAAAGAAATGGCACCTAATACAGAGGTCAGGAGCTGGGTCTTTGGAGGCAGACAAAGCTGAGCTCAGGGTGAGTACTGCCTCTTCCAAGCTGTGCCACCCCCACCACATATTAGTTAATCTCTCTGGGCCTCAGTCTTCTCATCTGTGAAGTGGGAGTGGTGATACTGTCCCTCACAGAGTTGTTAAACGGTTTAAATGAAGTAACGTATATTGAGTGTTCAGCCTGGTGCCTTACACGCAGTACGTGCGCAACATTGGCTATTAGCTTTACTGCTGCTGTCAGGACCAGCCCCAACCAAGCTGTGAGCTCCTTTGGGGAAGGAATTGCATCTTGTTTCTCTTTGTCTATCTCAGCATTTTCTTTTTTTTTTTTTGTTTTCTGCTTTATCTCCCCAAACACCCCCTGTACACAGTTGTATATCTTAGTCGCATGTCCTTCTAGTTGTGGGATGTAGGACGCCGCCTCAACGTGGCCTGACGAGTGGTGCCATGTCCGCGCCCAGGATCCGAACCCTGGGCCGCCGCAGCGGAGCGCGCGAACTTAACCACTCGGCCAGGGAGCCAGCCCCTATCTCAGCATTTTCCACAGGACTTGGCCCCCGGCAGGTGCTCTGTGTCTTTGGTTGAGTTCCTTAGAAACAGATCCTGCGATGGGGCCCTCCTGGCTAAGTGCTCCCAGGGGACAGGAGAGGGCCTGGGGGAAGCAAATGGAAGAGGAAGAGGCCAACAAGGGTGCCGAGGATGGTTTCTGCCTGTCCCACAGGACTCTGGAGTGTAAGATACACCTCAGGGTTGTCCCCATGCCAGACAGGGGAATTGGGCCTTCTCTCACCTGCACCCCAGTCACTGGCTAAGGGCCACCTTGGGGGATAAACTTCCAGGCACTTCCGCCATGCTCTGGTAGCTGAGTGCAGTCTGCAGAGAGAGAGCGCACAGCAGGGAACACACACGGAGGGCAGGGAGGGTGCACAGAAACGGAAAGGGGTCTCAGGGGATCTACCATGCTCCATAAATGTCTTCTGGGTTGAACAGAATCAGCCCCGGACCAGCCTCTGAAGGGTTCTGGTTCCCTGTGGAGTCGCGGGTGGTGGAGGCAGGGGGGCGGGGGCTGCCAGGCAGAGGGGAGCAGCTCTAACTACCCTGCAGAGTCCCAGCTGGTCAGAACCAGGAGGGTCCCCCCAGTGGCCAGCCTCTCCCCTGGCTGAGCAAGGGCAGGCCTGGGGCTGCCTGAGATGGCCTTGAGAGCCCTGACTATGTGCCGGGCACGGATGCCAAGTTCTTTGCATGACTCACCCATGTCTTCCTCACAACCACTCGAGGTAGTGTCCTGATTCAGACATGAGGAAACTGAGGCATGGAGAGGCTGAGGGACCCGCTGGAGGCGCCCCAAAGAGTCAAGGGCAAAGAAATCAATGCCATTAGTCATTAGGAAAATGCAAAATAAAAAACCCACAAGATACCACTTCACACCAGTAGGATGGCTATAAAAAGGAAAATAACAAGCTGGCAAGGAGGAGGAGAAATTGGAACCCTCACACACGGCTACTGAGAATGTATAATGATGCAGCTGCCGTGGAAGACAGTCTGGCTGTTCCTCAATAAGTTAAACATAGAGTCACCATATGACCCAGCAATTTCACTCCTTGTATGTACCAAAAGAATTGAAAACAGGTGTTCAGACAAACCTTGGACAAGAATGTTCATAGCAGCACTATTCGCAATAGCTGAAAGGTAGAAACAACTTAAATATCCATTAACTGATGAATGGATAAACAATGGAATATTATTCAACCATAAAAAGGAATAGATTTGGGGCTGGCCCAGTGGCACAGTGGGTAAGTTCACACAGTCCGCTTCGGTGACCCGGGGTTCACCGGTTTGGATCCTGGGCACGGACCTACGCACCACTTGGCACGCATGCTGTGACAGGCATCCCACATATGAAGTGGAGGAAGATGGGCACGGATGTTAGCTCAGGGCCAGTCTTCCTCAGCAAAAGAGGAGAATTGGCAGCAGATGTTAGCTCAGGGCTAATCTTCCTCAAACAAAAAAGAATGGAGTACTGATACACGGTACAACATGGATGAACCTGGAAAACATCATGCTGAGTAAAAGAAGCCAGACACCAAAGACCACATATTGTATGATTCCATTTATATGAAACGTCCAAAATAGGCAGATTCATAGAGACAGAAAGTTGATCGGTGGTTGCCAGGGGTTGGGGGAAGAGGAACAGAGAGTGACCACTTAAGGAGTGCTGGAACAAGATAGTGGCGATGGTCGCAGTGAAATGAACTGAACTGTACACTTATAAATAGTTAAATGGTAAATTTTACGTTATATGTATTTTACCACAATTTTTTAATAAGTTTTTAAAAAAGTGACTTAAGGGCAGAGCCTGGATCACACCAGTTCTTGATTCTTCCCTCCACAGGGCCTGGGAGTGGCCGACACAGAGTCAGCCACAGTGTTTTGGGATGGACAGAACAAATAGAACACAAGTCTACTGGACGCTGTGCTGACACAGATATGGGACTCAAGTTGTCTGTAAACATTCCTGTGACTTGGCCTGCTGCAGAAATAAAAGCACTAGCCTGGAGTTCTGACACACCCGGATATAAATGCTGGCTCCACCACCGGCTGTGTGAACTTGGACCCACACTGTGCCTTTCTGGGCCTCACTGTTCTCATCTGGAAAATGGAGCTAAGAAGAAGAGGCCCTCCGGGTTGTTGGGAGAAGTCAGTGAGTTAACACAGGTGGAAACGCCCTGAGCATGGCACCTGACACACAGGGAGGGCTCAGCAAAGGCTGGTCTCTTTCCTCCCTCTCCTTTACCCACATAGGCCCTTGACCTCTATCCCTGCCAGACTCCCCCTGGACAAACACCCTCCCAGAGGTTGGACGCACACAGCAACTCTTGTCCAGGTTCCTTGATGGACCCTGCCCATGGGACGTTTGCAAATTCCAAAGAGAAAACTAGTTAATCTGTAGAAAGCCTAAACGGTATAGAGAAGTGAAGAATTTCTGGATTCATCCAAGAAACATTTGGGATGGGGGAGCACTCCCTTTCCCCTCCAATCATACCACTTAGGCAGCTACCTGCTTCCACATCGTTTTCCTACACACACACACACACACACACACACACACACACCTCCCTACACCAACAATTCCCAAGAGCTGATCCCTGACCATGTTCTCACCTGTCTACAGCTCAAAATGTTAGTATAAGAGTGCCTATCAACCTTTCTAGGGAAAGACTAGTTTTTATTTCTACTTTTCTTTGGGGGGTATTAAAATGTTCTTTTTGTTAGGATGTAGTAATGGGAAATTAATCTTTTTAAATTATCCTATGTCCTTACTTGACAAAATAAGATGCCAGCAATTCTTACATCAGTTCCCAAAATGACTTTTTGAAGTTTTATTCATAAATCTTCAAATCCGAAGAGCACGGCTCTCCCTCTTCCTGCAGAGGGTGAATCCGGCCTCCCTTGCTCCGTGGGTGGGAGGAGGGTGGAGCCCCGGGGTCCATCCCTGCCAAGGTGGCTTTCTCCAGACCCTCCCCTCATCCGCACAGCAGCAGACTGATTCCAGGCTGGGCACCACAGCCTCACAGGCCAGCCTCTACATACTAACACTCTGGTTCCTGCTTCCTGGTGCCAGAGGTCCACTCTCCAGCAGTGGAGTGAGTGACATGGAGCCATGGCACTCTCCCATTGACCAGACCTCTGGTTTGGCCTAAGAAGGGACAAGCCATGTTCAGGGACCAATTTTCCTGTGAACCAAATGAGGCTTCCTTAGACCGTGTGGACACCACTCACCCCAGGAAACTCACAGCCCAGGCTCCCCCACCTGAGAGGGGCACCTGGGCATCAGGGGGACCTCCTGGCCCTCTCTAAGTCTCTCAGGCTAGATCATACCATTCTAGGTCACTGTCCTACCACCCAGGGCGATGCTCAGGGCATGGCCAAGGCCTCTAATACTACAGCCAGAAAGGTACCCCAAATTCCCACTTAAAATTCTGTCTTGGGCTTAGAAGCAAAGTAAGTGGCAGAAACCTGGGGCCTGCCCCCAGGACGCTCGCAGTCTGGGAGATGCCAGGCTCAGCCTGATATACATTAGAAGCCATCAAGAGACCACAGGGAGCTGTGAGGATAAAGAGGGGGGAAGAACAAGGATGGGGAGGCAGGCAGCAAATACAGACTAAGGGCCCACTCTGGACCAGGCACAGTGCTGGGTGCTAAGAATGCAGACATGCAAAAGCCACAGCCCCTGCCCTGAGGGGCTCCCAGATGAGCAGATGGAAGAGGCAAGGCCAGGGACTAACACTTTTCAAGGCTATTCATCTCCCATAATCCCAGAGACAAGAGACCCATCCTCATGGAGTTGACAACCAAATCAAAAGTAGGAAAATCACAGATTGGGGTAAGCCCTAGAAGAAAATAAACAGAAGGTGAGACAAAGCAGAAGGGGGCCAGTGACTTAGAGGGTGGTGGCAGAAGGCCTCTCTAAGGAGAGGTCATGGGGAGGAATTACACAACCCAAGTTGTGTAATAAGAGCTTTATCCTCACTTAGCAGATAAGAAAACTGTATCTCAGAGAGGTTAACTACCTTGCCCAAGGCCACACAGCTGGTGATCGGCCAAATCAAGATTCCACCATGCAATCTGGCATCAAAGCCCATGTTTTTGTTCCCCTACCCACTGAACAGTTCCCCTACCCACTGAACAGGCTGTTCCCAAATGTGGTAAGAGACTAATGATAACTGATATAATGACAGGGATGGGGGGTGGCCAGTTTGCCAGGGAATTCTTCATGGAGGAGAGAACAACTGAATGAGGCCTTTAAGGATGAGGAGAGTAGAAGTCACGGTGTGAGAAGGCAGGGTGGGCTAGATGAGATTATAGATTATAGATTATAAGGGGCCCTGAATGCCTATCAAAGATGTCTGATTGACTCGCAGGCAATGAGAAGCCAAGGAAGGTTCTTGAACAGGCTAAACTGTGCTGTGCTTTAGGAAGATGACTCTGGTGCAGGAGCCAGGAGAGGCTGGGGATGAGGGGAGGCCCAGCTGAAATAAATGAGAAGAGAGGAGAAGGGAGAAGGAGGGACGTGGTGAACCGTGAACTGAAGGGGGGGGCGGGGCAGGGCCCCTCAAACCCCAGAGATAACCAGCATGGCTGGTTCCCCCTAGACAGCACCATATTTGTCCTGAACACACAAAACCTCGACAACACAGTGGGTGGGTACTCAGGAGAGCAGAGGAGCTCAGGCAGTAGATAAGGAGGTATTTTTGCAGACCCCAAGAATGGGGTGCCACAACCCAGGACCCCATGCTGCTTCACTCTACCCGCCCCTGCCCCCAGGCCTGGCTTGGGTCTGTGGTCCCTTCCTAGACAATAGCCCCAGGTCCTACTGCCAGTGACCCCCATCAGCCCAGGTCTTTCTGTCCAAGATCCACAGCCCCCAGGCCCATGACCTTCCCTCCCTCCAGGTCCCCAGCCCCATTCTCTGGGGAGCATAGAGGATGGGGTGTCAGCTTCACAGGGTTGGGTGACCCTCAGATAATAACAGCAGCCAACACTTAGCCCTCATTCTGAGAGAAGCCCTATTCCAATGGCTTTATTTTTACTCATTTCATCCTCATAACATCCCTACAAGGTAGATACTATTGTGTTCCAAGCAGGGGAAACCGAGGCACCAGAGACTTGCCCAAGGGCTCTGAACCCTGGTGATCTGGTGCCAGGGTCTGTGCTTGCAGACTCTCCGCTGCGCTGGGTCTTCAGCCAGGCATGACTCTCTGGACTCTGAGCGTCTCTACCCTCTCTCCTCTCTTCTTTGCTTTCCTGACGATCCTGCCAGATGCTCCGAGTCCTGCCAGGAGGGCGGGCTGCATGTGGGAATTTGGCATCTGGTCCTCGGCCTCTGCCCCCTCTGGAACATCCGCCTGCCTGCAGCAGTGGGTGTGAGGGACTGGCCTGATGTCGCAGGGCCCCTCCGGGAAGCAGGGCAAGCCTGTCTGAACCCTCCTCACCCCTGCACCAGCTCAGGGCGCCCGCTTCCCCCCACCTCCTGGACCTGGAACACCACCCACAGCCAACCCCAGCCAGCCCTCTCCCTTCTGCTCTGCTCCAGGGACCTATTCAGGCAGCCCCTGCCCTGGGTGTCTGGGTACCAGGGGCGGCGCACTAACTTCTCGACGGGGGGAGCTGGGAGCCCTCGTGCCCACTAGGTGGCGCAATGCGTGTAGAAATGTGGGTTTGACCGCTGGCCTCCCCTCTCACCGGCAGAGGGACGGAATTTCCACCACAGTCTTTGTAGGTATCTCATTTTCATCCCTATTCCTCACCCGCACCTCATAACCAACCATTTGTATGTGTTCTTGCAAAACATGAGCATGTATTTTTGGGGTTCATGCTTAGTAAATTATGTATTTCTTACTTGGTTCACTCAGCACCGTATTTTTAAAACCCATCCATGCTGCTAGGGGCACATTCAGTCCCTAGAGGGCACCCTCCACATGTATTTACCCACTCAGGATGACTGACACCCACATTCCCTCCAACACCCTTCAACAATCTTGTGCCGAGCGTCCTTGCACAGGATCCCTATGGCCCTGCCTGAGAACTTAGGGAGCGGAATTGCTGGGTCAGGGGGTATATGTTGTCTTAATTTGATGCAGCACTGCCAGCCAGCTCTCAACTCACCCATTCTTGGAGGGGTCCTGGGGAAGAAAGACTCCCAGCCTCTGGCTGGCATCCCTCCCAGGGGGCTGCCCCAAACCCTTCCCACTTGGGCCTTGGGGGAGTTACAGAGCTGCTGGCCAGCGGCCTCTGTCAAGACCTAAAGGGTAAGACTTTAGGTCCTGCTGTCTCTCCTGGGCCTGCTCTGCCCACCCTTACTGAACACTCACCAAGGCCACACTGGCCATTAAGTGCCCCACATTCCTGTCTTCAGGAGTCTTTCTGGTGCCAAAGTCAATTCTTTCCCTCTTCCCCTTCCCGCAGAACTACCCCCGTTTTCTGCATTTTCCCAAGTTCTCTTCCTCAGCCCATTCCGTCTGTGTGATCAGTTCTGTGCTTCCTAGCTATGTGTCTACAGGCAACTTATTCAGACTCTCCAAATATCCTTGTCTACAATATGAAGATAAGTAATATCATTACTAAAAATGGCCACACAGACATAATCCCTCCTGGCTTCTGGCCCTCTCTCTGAACCACTGCTGCTCTGCTTCCCACACATTCAAGCAGCTCAAACTCTGCCTCCTCCAGGAAGTCATCTCTGATTGAACCAGATATGGTTCTAAAGCCCTTAACCTAACTGTCACCTAGTAAGAGCTCAAATATTTTGGGGGCTGCAAGTTGAAATAACAATAACAGCCATGATTCGTTGAGGACCTACTATGTGCTAGGAGTTCTTTATCCTACTTCAGCCTCACAAGAGCCCTGGAAGGCAAACATTATCATCCCCACTTAACAGAAGAGGAAGTTGAGGCTCAGAAAGTTAACGTGACTTGTCCAAGGTCACTGGCAGGTAACTGTCAAGGTCAGGAGTGGAATAGTGTTGTCTGACATGTTTCCCCTACCCAACACCACCTC